AAAAAAAAAAAAAAAAAAAAATGAAACGGCGGCAGACACCGTAGCAAGAGGCCAACCAAACCACCGACTTCTCAGGCGATGCCACGTGTACTTCCACCGCTATCTCCTCCTATACTTACACTTAGAATTATGGACACCTGTTCACTCTTCCCGCCACTTATTGGCTTTCTCTTTCACTGTTGTAAAAATCTGATGTCATAAGTAATTGAAGAAAAAGAACAAATTTAGCTTGTTGCATCGATTTACAATGGAAGGTTCTGATTTTGTTAGAGTTAAGGTAAGAATTGTTAAAACACACTTCAGTATTATGTTAGGTTTTTTAAGGACCATTGCTGTTAGAAGAACTGCAGCTTCAATGATGCCGACCATCCATTTTCCTGCTTCACTTCTATTCGCCTTTAGCCAGGCTTGTTATCTCGTATATTACTATTAATTTTCATGTTTTACTGGATTTTATGGTATTATATTGTTTAGTGCTTGCTTTTAATGTCAATAAGTATGTTTTTATTTGTTAATTAAATTCAATCAAACAAGTAAGGAGAGGGAGAGAGTGATGTATTTGTCTTTATTCCCAAAAGCATGTAAACTAGCTAATGTTACACGTAACATATTTCTGAAGCCGTGTTATCATTTTCTATGAAAATGTTTTTCACAAAGTAGAAAATATGAAAAAATGGACGAGGACAGGTAATTTGGATCATTGAGCTAGAAATGTTGTAGGGATTTCCTTGCAAACTCTTGGCTTAATTATTGATTCGTTTCTGGTCTTAGGTCTCCTAATTTGATAGTATGGTATTGTTCAGTTTGTTTCGTTTACTTTGTTGAGGAATATTCATCTCTTACTTGCAGAGGGGAAAATCAGGTGATCCAGATATCATTAAGATAAAGGTATGCAACCTTCCTTTTTGTTTGTAGTCCGATTTCGGTTAGTAAAAATCATCGAGCGTGGTGCTTAATGATGGAAATATTGCAAAGTAAGATCAAATCCTGCATCAGCCACTGTTTTTGCTCAATTGTTTAGCGTTGTTTTGCTTTTCTTTGCAGAGGACATCGACTCCAGATGATGTGGCATCTGTTCTTTTGAAGGTTAGAAATTTGCTGTTCCTTTCTGGATCTCACTCTAGTTGTTTCAGTTGTTTGTTTGGTGTAGGGTGTATCTCTCTTTGGTATTTGTCTCCTATTTGTTGGGTGGTCTGCTATGTTCGCTAATATACACTGGCCTGCAGCAAGGTATCTTATTCTTTTCATAAGATTTGTGGCTAAAGTTTTGTGATTTTATGTCATATTGGGTAAAGTTGAGGTACTTCAATGTGACAGATATTGTTTTGTGGTGCATATAGTTCAAAGCGACCATACGTGGATTAGCTCCAACATTCCCTATCGGGGTCGATTCACCACCCTCTTTTTTATTACATACATGATGTTAGACTGTCCAAAACTTGTCCATGAAAATCCTTATGGACAAAATATTCTACTGTTACTTGGCCTTTCACTTGACATTTTACTGTCTTATATCATAAATTGAAAGGTTCTCGATGTCACTAGATTTAGAGTAGTTAAAAATGCTAGCAATAACCCGCTTTTCACATATCGGAATCGGACCCTGTTTTTACTCTTAAATATTTTTTACCCAACTTAAAATTTATAACAATTGGAAACTTTATTTTTTTATTCTTTGTGCTAGTAAAAGGGGATACACTGGATTGGGTATATGTTTTAAGGAATCATTGATTAGACTGTGTAACTTTAAGATGGTACCTAAGTTGCAAAACAAGTTTTTGGATTCAATGGCCTCAGTTACGCTGGTTTCAGATATCGCTTGCTTTTGGTTGTTTAGGTTATCAACCACTTTCCTTGGATTTCCTGATGAAGATACTGGAATAAGTGCAGCAACTGGGTGACTGGACATGTGCTTTCTTGTTAAGCAATTGCGATGTTAGTAACTTGATTTCTAATTTTGTTTTCTGTTTCAGGAGAGAGAAAGGCAAGGAGTGTATGGAGCAGGCAGAGAGGTTAACAGCACCGCAGAACAGGAGGAGGAGGATGCAGAAAATGAAGACTATGATGGTGATGATACTGGAGCCAAAGATGAGGATAATGGCGAAGTTGTTGATGACCCTGAAGAAGACGGTGGGGATGCAGAAGTCAGCGATGGAGATCAGAAGCAGCAGAGGCGTGTCAGCTATGGATTTCATTTAGTTGAAGGCAAGATGAAACATGGGATGGAGGATTATCTGGTGGCAGAAAATAGGAAAATGGATGGACATAATCTGGGGCTCTATGCAATATTTGACGGTCATTCAGGACGTGAGGTTGCAGAATATTTGCAAAGCCATCTTTTCGACAATATACTGAGTGAGGTATCAGTAAGTTTGTTTAGAAATTAAGATTTGGCGACAGAACGCCTTTTTACCTTAAGTAAGACTACAATAAAGGACTGTTTTAGAACACCAGGAGTATTTCATTCTGTCTCAAAGACATAGGAAACTTCAGAAATGTAGAATTGTTCAATGTGGAAACTAGTTAAGCAAGCATTATCAATACAGATTAGATGTCTAGATTAATGCCACAATATGGTGAGATAGGGTGGGTTAATCAAAGTTTTGTATGGCTCAAAATCAGAAGTTTTTGTTCTGAACAGCCTGATTTTTGGAAGAATCCTGTGACTGCATTTAAGAAGGCTTATAGAGATACAGATGGCGACATTTTGGAGAATGTGGTTGGTGCACGAGGTGGCTCAACAGCAGTGACAGCCATATTAATCGACCAGAAACTATTGGTAGTGGCCAATGTAGGGGATTCACGTGCAGTACTAATTCAGAGAGGAAAGGTCAAGCAAATAACAGTTGATCATGAGCCGGAAAAGAAGGAAGAAAGAGACCTAGTTGAGAGCAAAGGAGGTTTTGTTATTAAGATGCCAGGTATGATTCCACTTTTTTCCAGCAGATTTCTTGATTGCTGCATTGAATTTGCATGTGATTTTTAAACTGTCATCGATGTTAAGAGAAACACCATTTTTACTTTATAAATGTTTATAAAAACTGAGGAAATAGTGTTCAGTTTTAAGCTTTTCTAGAATAAGGTTAGAGCATAGGCTAGAGATAAAAGCCAGATATATTTGTCGAAGAACAGAAACTTTTTATGATAATCACAGGTAAAAATCGATCTTTCAGGCAGGAAAAAGTTGCCCTTCATCGCATTCTGTGATATGCGTTTTCTTTTCCCTGTGCTTTGCCAATTGGTCCTTACATCAGGGTGGCTACTCGAGAACTTGCTTATTTATCTTCAGTTTGTGTAGAAAGAACCCATGTGTGGGATGATATTTTTTCGCTTAATATGGTTCTAGACTAACAATTTATTTCCTAGAACATTAATTGTTTAAAATACAGGGAATGTTCCACGGGTGGATGGCCAACTAGCCATGACAAGGGCATTTGGAGATGCAAAACTGAAAGACCATATCACTGTGGAACCTAATGTGACAATTGAGAAGATAGACAAAGACACTGATTTCATAATCTTGGCAAGTGATGGCTTGTGGAAGGTAATTTACAGTGCAACCGGTAAGAACTAGGGTTAGCATCTTTAAAATGACGACTCTGGTAAAACCATGATGGTACATATTTTTTGTCACGACCCGGATTTTCCACCCTCGAGAGTCGTGATGGCGCCTACTCGTGGAAGCTAGGCAAGCCGAATATTATAAAATCATTACCCTTTTTATTAAACATGTCCAACAATTTAAAATAATAAGTGATTAAATAGCGAAATAAATTAAATAACCGGAAATGCAGAAGACGAAAACTTAATAATTCAACCCAAACACTACTACATAATTTGAAGTACAATACTACCCAGAATTTGGTGTCACAAGTCACGGACTGTCTAAGAATACTGCAAATAAGGTCTGAATGAAATACATAAGTCTGTCTCTGAATAAGTAAAAACAGAAAGAGAAAAGATAGGACGCGGACGCTTGTAGGACTATCTCGGGTCACCTGGACTGAAGGCAGCACCCTCACTGCGGTCCAAACGCCCCGGTATCAGTATTTGCACACAGTGCAGCGTGTAGTATCAGCACAACCGACCCCATGTGCTGGTAAGTGCCTAGCCCAACCTCGGCGAAGTAGTGACAAGGCTAGGACCAAACTACCAAATAAACGTGTGCAGTTAAATCATATACAACGGAAATAAAAGCAAATAATTACAGCTAAAGTTGGGCGAGGGAAACATGCTGCGGGGAGTAACAGATAACGACAGAATAACAGTAGAAAAATGTAAGTAACGCCATAAATCAATTACCAGCAAAAGATAAGGAAATAAGGAAAACAAGTACACATGTAATACTGTTGCAGGCGTGCAACCCGCTCTCGTTTTAAATATTACCGTTGCAGGCGTGCAACCCGCTCCCATTTCATTTATCAACACCAATCATAAAAGAATCTCGGCAAGGGAACAATAGTATAACAACATCATCCCGGCAAGGGAACAATAATATAATAACAACATCCCGGCAAGGGAACAATAATATTACAACAACATTCCGGCAAGGGAACAATAATATCATAACAACATCCTGGCAAGAGAACAATAATATAATTCTCATATAAAACACGAATAAACCATAACGAAGTCATAAAATTACAATACAAGACTCATGGGTATGCTTGACGTATAGATACTCGTCACCATGCCTATACGTCGTACTCCACAATTAACACGTAGCAATTAAGACTCGACTCCTAATCCCTCAAGCTAAGGTTAGACCAAATACTTACCTCGATGTCACGAACACAATTCAAGCTTCAACTATCGCTTTACCTCTTGATTCCACCACCAATTTGCTCGTATCTAGCCACAAGTTACTTAACTATATCAATAAATGCTAAATGAATCAATTCCAATGCATGAAAATAGGTTTTCGAAAGTTTTCCCAAAAAGTCAAAAATTGCCCCCGGGCCCACATGGTCAAAACCCGAGGTTCGAACCAAAACCTGATTACTCATTCCCTCACGAACCCAAATATACAATTTGTTTTGAAATCGGACCTCAAATCGAGGTCCAAATTACCAAAATTTGAAAAACCTAGGTTCTACCCAAAACACCCAATTTCCTCCATGAAAACCTTTGATTTTGAGTTGAAATCATGAGAAAAGATGTTAAAAATTAATAAAAACAAGTTAGAAATGACTTACAATCGATTTGGAAGAGTACTTGTCTTTGAAAAATCGCCCAAGAGTGTTTTCGTTTTGAAAGGGTTTGAAAAATGATTGAAATGCGTCTAAGTTATGATTTTGCAGGTTGCAGGTATCGCAATTGCGACCAGGGTTCGCAATTGCGAACCCCTCAGAAAACTGACCCCTTCGCATTTGCGAAGATAATGTCGCATTTGCGACCCAGTTTAATTTCTGGTCACCTTCGCATTTGCGAGGGACCTTTCGCATTTGCGATATCGCATTTGCGATAGAACAGTCGCATTTGCGACATCGCATTTGCGATAGAACAGTCGCATTTGCGACTAAGGCAGCCCAGGTCGATTATCGCATTTGCGAGTCGGGCTTCACATTTGCGAAGCCTGCAGACCTGCAACATACCAGCTAAAACCTGCAACTTCCTAAGTCTAAATTTCACTCTGTAGCCTATCCAAAACTCACCCGAGCCCCCGGGGCTCCAAACCAAACATGCACACTAACCCAAAAACATCATACGGACTTACCCGTGCAATCAAATCATGAAAATAACATGTAAAACTATGAATTAAACCTCAAAACTCATCATTTTTAGCAAGAACACTTATTCATAACTCTTTAACCGGAGGTCCAAATCACGTCAAATAAACTTCATTTTTCATCAAATTTCACAGTTATCACTTAAATACTTTAACAAGTTTGCCCTGGGCTCCGGAATCAAAATACGGGCCCGATACCAATGGTTTCAAACATTAATTCTTTTCTTTATTTCATAAATAATTCAGCAAAACAATTTCTTTCAAAAATTGATTTCTAAGGCTTGGGACCTCGAAATTCATATCCGGGCATACACCCAAGTCTCATATTTTAATGCGGACCTCCCGGGATCGTCGGAACGCAGATCCGGGTCCGTTTGCTCAAAGTGTTGACCAAAGTCAACCATATTCAAATTTTAACTCTAGAAATTTCTATCTATCATATTTTCACATAAAAGCTTCCCATATGTACGTCCGGACCACGCACGCAAATCGAGGTGAGGTAAAAAGGAGGTTTTAAGGCCTCGGAACACAAAATTTGTTTCTAACACAAGTACATTTTTCCCCATTACATGCCATAAATAGTATAATTTGAGCACTGCTAGACAAAAATTGGTACTATGTTCCGAATAGAATAACGCATATCTGTGTCTTATATCTGGAGATTTTGTAATCTTAAACTTTTTAGTTTACTCTTAATGACAGGTTATAATATCCATAGAGGGGTTCATTGCATGTGTAATACTTAAGTTTCTCATAATTTGTTAAATACAGATTCTGAGTTGGGATGATAACATGATATATATGTCTGTTGGTCTCAACCTACGCGATGCCGCTCTCCTCCTCTCCCAAGCTGGGAAATAGCTATGTTATAAACTGAGATCAGTTGTTCAGATAGATTTTATTATAAATAAGGCTGGCATTGATGTACATATTTGCAGGTAATGTCGAATGAAGACATAGCAGAATGCATTACGGGGCTCGAGCATGGCAAGAAAGCAGCGGAAGAGTTAATCACTGAAGCACTAATGAGGGGGAGTCCCGACGATATTTCTTGTGTCGTAGTGAGGTTTCACTAACTATGTATGGGGTTAATTAGCAGAAGGATCAAAATGCGTATGGACAGGGTCGTTTGAATAGTTGTCAGACTCATATTATGTAACTATGTCCTTCTTCATGTGCCATGTTGTGTTGCAATCTTACGGTTATCAGTTCTGAGTTTTTTTCAGACACAGATAAATTTGTCTCAACGGTAACTGAACTGTCAATCTAAAAGCCTACATTAGGTAAGGCCATCTCCAACGCTGCTGCATTTTGCCATAATGCATTCAGTTTTTGAAGAAATTTGGCTGCATTTTGTCATAATGCAGTTAGTTTATGAAGAAATTTGGTTCCAACGCTGCTGTATTTTTTGCTGCAAAATGGGCGATGAATAGTTGGAGTGACACCATTCCTCTCCTCCATTACTATTCCCTATTACTTTATTATTATTTGGCAGAATGGCCTAAATGGCACTTGTACTTCACCCACTTTGTCATGTCGGTCCCTAAACTTAAATATTTGCCAATTGAACACTTATATTCATTCAAAACGTGAATAATAAACGGTTATCTAAGGAGGCTTCCAGTGCGTGTATGACAATCGCCTACACGTAGGACGCCACATCAATAAAATAAAACCATGTAGGCTCCAAGTCACATATGATGGCCAAATAGGATAAAAAAAAATCAGCAAAGGATTATTTACCCCCGCCCCCCAAACCCACATTTTCCCCTCATTTTACAATTACCCGCGTACTTAGGGTTTAGATAGTATCGAACAACAGTGAGTCTCTCCTCTCTTCTCCGTCATAGTTGTCGGGATTTTCATCTGTACTGTTGTTATCAAAGTTTGTGGGGTAAGTTTCTTCATTTGTTCTTCATATTTGTCTTTATTATTCTTCATCCCTCTATTTATGGGGCTTTTGCTCTGTTTAGGGTTTTTTAGGGGAAGGTTAGGTTAGGTCGTAATTGTTGTTTAATATCCCTATATATATAGGGCTTTTGTTGTGTTTTGCTACATGTTAGAGTGAAATCCCTTTTTAATGTAGTGTCATGCATGTAATAGCATCTTTGGTTATTCCGTTTAGTGTTTTGGGTTTTTGTTATCAAAGCAGAATTCCATCCTATGTTTATGCATTTTTTTGTGATGTTTGTTGGGTTTCCTTCTTGTTAGTGGTCCACCACAATATTTCTGAATATTATAAGGCATTATGGGGACAAAAAAGGAATCTTGGAAGCTTTTTTACTTTAAAAATCTGTCTTTTTTGTTGGTTTGTTTATGGAGTTGTGTAAAGGTGCAACTTTTGATAACAAATTGTCATTGATAACACTGTTTTTTTTGTTACTTTGCAGGTATGAAAAGAAAATGGCTTCAACCCTAGTTAATCTACAAATCCACCACAGTGGTAATTTTGTATCCGACCCTGACCTAAGGTATGCAAATGGACTAACTTGTCCTCAATTAGCTACAGTTGATGTTGATGAGCTACATATTATGTTGTTTCACAAGTTTGCTAGTGACTTAGGATTTTTAGAAGTTGATTTGTTTGGATGCAAAGTTAACAAAAGGGGTGGCTATTACATTTTAAAAACAGATGCTGATGTGTTAAAGTTTCTTAGTACATTGAAAGGTGGTGACTTTGTTGATGTTTGTATTGCCCATAAAATTAGTGAGTCTATTCTTGTTGAGGACATAACTGAACTAGACCCTACTATACAAACAAATGGGCATGGCAGTGGGTTAAATGTTAGGGCTGATGTGTCACCTCCCAACTATGATATAATAGGACTGAAAAAGGGGTAGACATAAATGAAGAGATAGAAGAATCAAATGAAGGTGAAGGTAATAACTTCTCATCCTATCACCTTCAAACATCAGAATCTGATTTTGAAGAGGACCTTGATGATTCTGAAGGGTCTGACTCACTGTTTGATATAGATGAGAACATTGAAGAGTGTAGTGGTTTGGAAGATGATTTAGCTGAAATTAGACAGTCTAACCTCAACAAAAAGAAGGATGTCCAAGTAAATGTAGATGAGATACCATCTGGTCCAATTGGTATAGATGCTGGTATTGGAGATATGCATAAGAACAAAAGGGAAAAATATGAAGGGAAACTAGGATGGGATGACAAGTATTTTGATAGCTCAGATCCAGGTAGTGAGTGTAGTGATGATGAAAGAGAACTTGTTGGCCCTGATGAAGTAAGGGATGCACCAGCTAGAAATCCAAGTAAGAAGGTCTACTTTGACACAACTTGCAAAAAAATATTTTTTGAACTGTCTATGATATTTGAGAATGTTGTACAATTTAGAGAGGCATTGTAGACATATTCTATTAAAAAAGGCGTGAACCTTAAGTTGAAACCTAATGAGAAGGAAAGGGTTAGGGCAAAATGCACAAAGAAAGGTTGTCCATGGCATATCCTTGGTAGCATAGAAGGCAGCACCAGTAATTTTAGGGTGATTACATACTACCCTGTCCATAAATGCTACAAGTAAACAAGGAACAAGATGTGTAACCCACCATGGATTGCAAAAAAATTCAAAGGCAGAATAATTAGTGAGCCTCAAATTAAGCTTCATCACATTCAAGTCTTGCTTAGGAAATCATATGGCTTGTATGTGAGTAAAACTTTCTGTAGAAGAGCAAAAATGATAGTTATGAAGGAGAATATGGGTGATTACAAGAAAGAATTTGCTAGGCTTCATGATTATGCAGAAATGCTAAAGTCTACTAATCCTGGCACTACTGTAGTGATAAGGACATCTAAGGATTCAATTCCTGGCAAGGAGGTGTTTATGGGCATTTATGTCTGTCTTGAAGCATTAAAAACTGGATGGTTAGAAGGGTGCAAAAACATAATTGGCTTTGATGGTGCATTCCTAAAGGGGACATGTAAAGGTGAACTGCTTTCCTGCATTTCCAAGGATGGAAATAATCAAATGTTCCATGTGGCTTGGGCAGTATTTGTAAAGGAATCAAAGGATACATGGTCTTGGTTTATTAGATGTCTCAAGCATGATCTAAACTTGACAGAAACTGAAGGAGAAGGGCTGACAGTCATGTCTGATATGCAGAAGGTATGGTTCCTAATACTCTTCTTTAAAGTGTAATTGTTTTCATTTATGTTTAAGTTATAACAATATAGTTTTTATGATTGTAGGGTCTTCATCTAGCAATAATACAGTTATTGCCAAATGCTGAGATGAGATAGTGTGCTAGACATATCTGGGCTAATTGGAAGCAAACTTGTCCTGGTGAGGAAAGAAGGAAAAAATTATGACAGTGTGCAAGAGCTACATTTGAAGTTTACTTTAGCAAGAAGTTGGATGAAATGGACCAGCTGGGGGAGATATTGTGCAAGACTTACTGAAATACAACAAGGAAACATGGTGTAGGGCATACTTCAAAGAATATAGTAAGTGTGATGTAGTGGAGAACAACATGTGTGAGACATTCAATAGTTGGATATTGGCAGCTAGGCACAAGTCTATCATTACTATGTTAGAGGAAATTAGAATCAAGTGTATGGAGAGGATGAATAGCATAAGAGAGTTTTCTGAAAAATGGGTAGGTGAGATATCACCCATGGCTATGGAAATACTTGGAGAGAATGCGCAAAAGGCAGCCAAATGTGAAGTCAAATTTAATGGTGAAACAGGGTATGAGATCCAGGATGGGTCATATAAACATGTTGTTGACTTTTGGACATGTACCTGTACTTGTAGATCATGGCAACTCAAAGGAATTCCATGTGCACATGCAATTACAACAATGCATTATAAGAACTATGAGGTTGAGCCATATGTTGACCATTGGTATAGAAAGGATACTTACCTGAAGGCATATAGCAGATTCATTCAACCTTTAACTAGTATGAATTTGTGGCCAAAAAGCACACTGCCTGCTATTGAGCCACCTGTTATAATTGCAATGCCAGGAAGGCCAAATAATTAAAGGAGAAAAGCTGCTGATGAACCAAAGAAGAAGTTTGGGAAGGGTACAAGGATAAGGAGACAAATGAGATATTCTTTGTGCAAGACTCTAGGACATAACAAGAAAGGATGCCCATCAGCAGTAAGTATTAATGTTTGTTTTGTTACTAATATTGAAAGAATTCAATTACTAGTGATAGTTTTGTTATGTGTATGCAAAGAAACCAAGGGGGAAGGGCTGGAACTAGTTCAGTTGGAGATGAAACTGCTGAAAGTGGAACTGCAGCATCAGCAGTAGCTGGAAGTGCATCAGCAGCAGTTGGAAGTGCATCAGTACCAGCAGCTGGATCATCAGCAGCAGCTGGAAGTGCATCAGTACCAGCAGCCGGATCATCATCAGCTGCTGGATCAGCAGCAACACCTTCAACTATGGAAAGTGTTACCTTCACTCCACCAATCATTGATCCAAGCACACAACAATCAGCTAATGTTGCAGGAGGTCCAAAAAGGAAGACCAATGAGCCTAGAAGAGGTGGTGCAAATGCAGGGTTTAAGAGACCAAAGGCAGCAGGATATGGTGTGCTATTTGATTCAAGTGGCACTGTTATACAGAGGTAAATATTTCCACTCAATTACACAATAGTTTACTACATAATCTCTCACTCACAACCTTTTATTTTTGTGCAGTCTGGAACTACTGACAGAGTAGTGGTACACAATCCTTCTACACTTATAAGTTCTGCTCCTACCAATATTGAACTTAGGTTCAAACCACCTAGACTACAATGGAAGGGCAAAGCAGCAGTTACACAAAGGCAGCTACAAGAACAGAGTTACAGAAGGACAAAGTCTACTACAACCACTCAAGCCACCCAGTTACACAATCCACACCAAGAAGCCAAGCCACAATAGACATTAATTGAAGTGCTCAACTGATATTTACATATGTATGTTTTTGTTGACTGTGGTAGACAATATTTTGTAAAGCTACTTCATTATGTATGTTTTTGTTGACTGCCTATCGTTGGCAATATTTTGTAAACCAACTCCCTTATTTTGGATGTTTTATTAACTGCCTATAACACAGGCCATTATATTAGTACTTGTTGCTGTAATGGAGCCTTTATTAATATATTCCATGATTTTTTTTTTACATCTAACACAAAATATGTAGCCTAAACCCACGAAATAAGAAAGTGCACTATCAATCCTAAACAAATAACATAATAGCTAACATTAGAACAACTACAACCACAATTATAATAGCAGCAACTCTGAACTTTGACCTTCCTTGTCTTCTTTGATAATGACATCGATCACTCTTCTTAATAAGAGCCGCAAGAAGAGTCTTGTAGTGTTCTTTCTCAATCGCAGGATCAATCCATCTGAAAAAGCCACAACCTTCACCAATCTCATATCTTCGACAGCCCAGGAACCTCCTTCCAGGATTGGTGGGTGTTCGTGACATTTTAAGATCTGCAACAACTTCACAATAACACAAAGATTCCTTCCTCATTGTTGAAGGAGAAGAGGCGACAGTAGCTTATTTGTTGCAGGAAAAGCAGGAAAAAATCGACTTTCAAAACAAAAGGAGATGGCAAAAATTGATGGGCAACGAAGAATCACAGGAAAATAAAATTCTATTTTTCACTGTTGAAGCGAACAAAGAAAGAAGAAGGCATCAGATTTGCTAAATTTAGCTTCTATAATGTTCAACAATGGAGAATAAGGTAGGAAGAAGAAGATGGTTGTTAAATAAGCTGAATTATTACCGTTAGAGCTTTTTTAACTGTCTTCACGCCCCTTACAGGCGTGTGAATCACGCACTGAAGCCACATATGACACATAGGATAAGCCACGTTGGATAAGCGTTTATTATTCACGTTTTGAATGAGTATAAGTGTTCAATTGGCAAATATCTAAGTTCGGGGACCAGCATGACAGTGGGTGAAGTACAGATGCCATTTAGGCTATTCTGCCTTATTATTTTTATTATTTAACTGTTTTAATTTATCTTTTTATATATACTTAATTATATTTATGTAATATCTTTATAATATTAATTTTACATCTTAATTTTGGTGTATAATTTTGATAAATTAATTTTCGTGCATTTATTATTTTTATGTAAAATTATAATGTGTGATCTTAATGCACTAATTCAAGATGATTGAGAATGTCTACCTCTAATGGTAGAAATGGTAGTAGATGAAAATCACCGATCTGAATAATTTTTAGCTCGACATAAAAGAATTAAGGACAAAGATGCATATTTTGTATTTTGTAATGCATTAATAGATCATTTATGGGAGCATATTAGGGGTGGAAGTTGAATATTTATGTAGTATTGAATCTGAATTTTACCATAATATAATATGTATTTAATTATCTTGTATTTCTATGATTTCACTTTTATTTGAATTATCTGTTGATATATATAATTTATAATATTTGGTAACTAATTATATTATTTAAAAATTTATGATGTAAAATAATTTTATATTAAATGGTTATACAAGAAAGGAATATAAATTATATGTGATGAATATGTCAAAAAAATAGAATTTCATAAATAGAAATAAGAAAATAAAATTTAAATAAAAGATAATAATATAATATTGAAGAGAGAGAATAATATAAAATCAAATATTCTTTTTTGGAATAAAAAATAGTGTAATGGTTGGAGTAACTTTACTCCATTTTGGAGGAGAAAATGGAGCAAGGGTTGGCAGGTGTAGTCCAGGCTTAAAAATTAAAAATTAAATCACATCAAACCAAGTAAAAAAAGGATTTTTACCTTCCTATACTATATATGAAACTTTATTACCATTTCTAATCAAGTTTTAACTTAATTACACGGGCATATATAATTTACTAATTATATACAATTAGTATTAAGGGAAAATGCATAAGTACCCCCCTGACCTATAACCCGATTCCCAACTACAAACTTTTTCTTTGCGGGAATCCTATTACCCCCCTAAACTTATTTTAAATTTAATTATTTGCATCCTTAACGCTGACATGGCAGAGTGTGTGTATTACACTCTCCCAAAGGAGAGTGAGAAGCAAGAAAAATGATTTTCAGATATTTTTTTATTCTTTTTTACCATTTTTTCTTACTTTTTTTTCCTTTTCCTTTGTCTTTGTCTTTTTTCTTTTACTTTTTTTTCGTTTCTTCTCTAATTCCGGCGGATATTCATTCACAAGCGACTTTGTCTAACCGTTTTTCTTCCATTTTTTTTCACACACAAATGAAACTCTCAAAAAGGTCTATTCGTAAGCGAAGCAAAATACACTCAGATTTGG